CTGTGCCCCTTCTGCACAGCTGTTTACATTATGTAAATTAGTGTGTATACCTGCGAGAGATGAAACGCTTCTCAATCCAACATGTCGTTGAGGAAATATAACCTTCTTCATTCTTTTCTAACGTCAATGCAGTTGACGTTGTGCCATTTAGCGGTTTCCAACAAGTACCTGGATTCCCATGTTTGCCTTTCTGTTTGTCATTTATCAGAGGCTGCTGTGCCCTCTCCCCTCATACCTCATTCTCCTCACAAAGCCAACCCCCCTGAGCACACGGATAACAAAACTCCCTTACTCCTACAGGCAATTCATCCCCTACTGACCCACTTGTTTTCACAATCTGACAAGTGTGATTTAAGAACTGCGGTAGGCCAGGAGTGCAGCGGCCATGTCTGGATCCACTGCTGCGGGACCTTAAAATTCAGCAACCACCAATTTGATACACTTTTTACTCCACTGACATCAAACTAAGACAAATCGATGAATTTACATACCTTGCCTGAAGGTTTCACCGTACTCTAGCTGACTTCTTTTCTGACTTGATCAATTGTTCTTGCTGGCGGTGTCAGTATTATTCAGAGAGGAAGCCACTGAGCACAATGGATGCATAATGTATGTGCTGCACGTGACACATAGCAAGACCATACAGTATCTATACTCAAACATTTGGTAGCAAACCACAAGCATCTGTGTGGCCTCTGAATAAAACATGACGTATTAGCCTTTTTCTGTGCTCTTTTGTAAATGTGCGAGCTTTTAGATGTAAAAAAGACTATTCAAAGTTAGCAGCGCAGCATTGACATAAAAGGATATTCATTATCCAAGTCATTTACTCCGGCTTCTATGTTTTCAAAGAATTTGGATCTTGCTATTCACTGACTGGTTAATGTGTCTCCATTAAGGCTCTGTCACAATAGTAGAGTGTGGGGGGCCCATAGCTGATGTGTTTTGTCCAATACAAAATGCCACCCCCTATTTCTACTCTATTGAGTTGACTCTGTTTTCCCCTGTTGCTTAAGGTTTTCGAACCACAGTGACAGAAAGTATTTCAGTGTGCTGCAAATCAGGCCCTCTGTGGCTGTGTAATGTTTTACCTTGTACTGCATTATGACTAGACAGTCATTTGTGTCTAACTACCATGCAAGAGTGGCAGTAAGTAACTACTGGTGTCACTACTGGAACTGAGTACTTTATTTGTGTGCTTAAACTTTTTACATTACATATTTCCTGAGCGGGTCATTAATTCCACTTTTGCTTTATAGTTTGAGCAGACACACTTTACATAACACATTAAATTACATCTAATAACCCACACATTTAACCCTGGGAAATTTATATTTGACTGGTTGATCTTAAATTGTATATAGATCAAACCTGCTAAAGCTTGCAGCAACACAACTGTATCATTAAAGGGGCCCTATACCGCTCATTTTAGGTTCATATCAGTATGTAGTGTCTCTACTGTGACATGTCTCCATGCTTTAATGTTCAAAAAGCTTATTATTTTTCTCATACTGCCTGTACTGCAGCACCTCTTTTCACCCTCTGTCTGAACCCAGAGCCCAGTCTGCTCTGATTGGATAGCTGGCCGGCTCTGTTGTGATTGGTCAACTGCTTAGAGATGTCCCGCCCCTTAGCCTATCATGTACAAGGTGTTGGAGCGCTAGCCAATAGAATCAGGAGTTACGCAGTGATGTCACTATGTAAACAAAGAAGTCAAATGGAGGCATTTCAGGCAGGGGGGGAGTGTGTGGGAGAGAAACTCCCTCTTTGGGATTTTAGAGATTTGCAAACCATTTACATGCACACAAACCTATGTAACACACTACAGGAAAGGGGAAACACCAAAAAGCATAATATTGCCTTTTTAAAGGAATACTTTACCCACAAAATGTGCAATTGTACATCAAATACTCACTCTGTACTACCCTGAAATGTATGTAGAAACTTGATTTTCTAGCATAGCTCCAAGGTGAGTATGAACATCCAAAACAGCATAAAGGAAATTCAGCATACAGTAGCTATATTATCCATTAAGAGCTCTCACACAACCAAGGATGTGCAATCCAATGTTGTGTGTCAATTTGGATAAATTCAGGGATATATACTATACTATATATATACTATATTGCAAACCTTCGGGGACAGAGCCTTCAGTGTGGCAGCCCCCACCCTCTGGAACGCTCTCCCTGCGGAGATCCGCAACATCCCCACGCTTGACGCCTTCAAAAGGGCCCTCAAGTCCCATCTGTTTGCTAAGGCCTTTGGCCCCTAATCTATTTGTTGTTTTGTCTGTCTGACTGTTTGTCTGACTGCCTTTTGTTTTTGTTATGTTTGTTTCTACTCCTGTTCTTCTTTGTAAAGCGACCTTGGGTCTCATGAAAGGCGCTATTTAAATCCAAGCAATTATTATTACTTTACTGTGTTAAGTAGGTTTTTAAATGTTCAGTGTGATCATTTATACAGGACACACAAATCAAATATGGCTGTTGTGCAATCAGAAGAAATAATCATCATCGCTGATATCGTTTGTCGTACCAAATCCTTACTTTCAGACTGATCAAATAACCGATTATCCCAACGACAGGTTAGCGGTACTTGGTGAAAAAGAAGTCTTTTTGTACAGTGGGTTGTTCACCGGAGGAACCCCAACAGCTGCTGTGTCCATTGCTCTACAATCAACTTTTTTCTTTCTTTTTTTTTATAAGTGCGCCATTGGAGAGCAATTTGCAATACTTGTAATCGTTATCGCAGTTATGCACTCAAAGTGTATATACAGAATTACACAAATTAAAGCCTGATCAAGTGTGACTTATTCCGTGTGATTTAAAGAGTCAGGTCAAAGTAGAAACTTGATGTTTTTGGGAAGTAGTGAGCTTACTGTACCACTGGATACATTTGTTTTTGATTGTATTCTGTTAAAGTTTGGAAATAGATTATTTAAAACACTTTTGTAAAACTAGGCCGCCATTTACTTCAATTCTTTGTTTACCGTTGAGGCATGTGAGAAAAAGTTTTATTTTCCAAAACAAGTTCATACAGGGTGAATTTCTATAACTGCTAAAGTTGACATAATTTCTTCTATCTTCAAAAACGTAATATTGTTTTGGTCCTATCTTGGTTGTTGTCTGGGGAGCTCTGGTGCATTACAAAAAGCAACATCCAGATACAGTAGTGACACCACTGATTAATGGGGTTTGACACTTTTGTTGTTTTCTTTATTTCCCTACAACCCACAATGTCATAAATGTTTTTCTTTTTGATTTATGCTCCACTTAATCTTGTCCTGCCATCTGTGAGCGTATCGCCCTACGTCTGATCTTGAGAAAAGTGCTTCTGAAGGTGCATCATCCTGAATATAATGCAAACCGATAACAAAGAGCACACTCATTACGAACTTTGTGTTAAAATTACTGTAGCATTACCGCCTATCTTGTCAGCCCAGCTAACAGAATGTTGCTTCACGCCGCCTGTCCTGTCATGGTCTCCAACGTTATCACACGTCCGTCTGAACAGAGAACAAATCTACATATTGCAGATCAAGGGCAAACTACAGTAAGCGGAGCCAGTCACTCACGATAAGAATCTCTCCTATTTTTTTGTTGCTATGAGAGAGGGAGAAAAACGTAGATCCCCATCAGAGGACAGTTTTTTCCACACTTTGCTGTTTTTGTTCTCTTTACTTATCAGCATCTGATGATTTAAGTGGAGGTATGGCAGTTAGTTTTCACAACCTAGAGATATCCCCCTTTGATTTGCATAGATATGCAAATGTCCCGGGTTACAGTTGAGGTGTTGACACGGGGGATCTGTGTGTGTGTGTGTGTGTGTGTGTGTGCTTGATACAGTATATAGGTCATTGTTTTTGGTGTTCCTCCTCTGATGGGTACGCACTGTACTCAGAGCCAGATGCTTATGCAGCCCAAAGTGATTTATGCTGCTACAGGGTGTCATACAGGGTTTACTGACTGATGCACTTTTATGTAGCTGTAACTGTATATGTTCTACTGTGTAAGTAATGATATCCCTCAGCTACTGATTTGTGTTTTGTGTCCAACATATAAATCTACCTGTTATGTTCAATAAATTAACTCTGAGGCTGTTTTCTGGCTCTAAAGGTAGATTTTTCAGTCGTTTCATTTCCTAACTGCACAGTGTAAGGAAATGGATGTCTTAGGGAATGTTTAGTATGTGCTTTTTTTATTTGTCTATAAGGACTTTCCCAGTAACCCTATATTTGGCAATTTTTAACAGTTTTTATTTAATTAAATGTCACTATCTATATTATGCTCAATTATCAGCACATGTCCATTGTTTAATTGAGTGTTCTTTTACTAACAATTACAGGTTTGATTTAATAAAATGACAAACAAATGTCATCATAGTTACATAATTTTTTATGTTTTAGGATTTGCAATAGCTTGTAATGACTTCACTAAACAGAGGGCTGACAGTGGCATTTGCATCAGGGCCAATCACCTATATTACATTTTAAAATAGCATACCACCTGCCATTAACAAGATCCCTATATGTATTCCATTAAAATGACCCATCTCAATCATAATACGACATGTTGAATTATTTATTTCGTTTTTGTCAACCTTGAAATGTTTTTTCATATCAGTTTATTGTCACTTACATTTTTCCTCTTTTCTTCAGAATCAGAATCGGATTTACAGATTTAATTTACAAATTACATTGATTTACAGAGGGAAAATGTACACAAAAAAAGAAAACACTATTAGACATAATATTTAAAATAAAATACATATATATTCCAATTGTACAACTAACATTCGTAATACATTTACATATTGCACACAATTGTTATTGCACAACAGTGGTGTCGTATTCTGAGTTTGGTTTTGTTTTCTATCTAGGGACTACAGTTGTTAATTAGCATTTTTGCTAACTCTGGCTCTTTCATATTGAAGTCCATTAACGTGCTACGCTCTCATAAATAAACACTTTTTGTATTTTCCTTCCCTTGTTTCCAGCGCCCCCTCCCAGCCCTAACGTCACCCTGGAGGGCCAGTACCACTGCCACCAGGGGCCGGGGATCCCCCTGGACAAGCTGTGTGACTTCAGCACAGACTGTCCGCTCGGCGATGACGAAGGCGACCTCTGTAGTGAGTACACTGTGATACACGAGCACAGCTGTTGATGAGAAAGTGCAAGAGGAGTGTCCGCTGTCCTTACTGCATTCATGTCGGAAACAAACTTTGTGTGTAAAATTGCTCATCCGTGTGAGCTGTCTTTAATGAAGCTGTTGCATCCTGCTGCCTATCGGAGCAACAACTGAGTGTCTGCGAAAAACAGAGAGGCAAGGGGGAAGGCAGAAAAAAAATGCAGCGTATCTATCTTGACTAGCATTTCTCACCCTTGACATACTCCATGGTTGTTATTTCTATCTCTTTGCACATTTGTTTTCTGCTTTTCTCCAGGCCTATGAGGAACACTAGCAAAGTATGCTGACATTGCATTCACAAGAGGTCCCCCAGGCCCTGCTGTGTGTGTGTGTGTGTGTGTGTGTGTGTGTGTGTGTGTGTGTGTGTGTGTGTGTGTGTGTGTGTGTGTGTGTGTGTGTGTGTGTGTGTGTGTGTGTGTGTGTGTGTGTGTGTGTGTGTGTGTGTGTGTGTGTGTGTGTGTGTGTGTGTGTGTGTGTGTGTGTGTGTGTGTGTGTGTGTGTGTGTGCGTCATTGTGCGTGTCATTGTGCGTGTCATTGTGCTTGTTTGTGAGTGGTGAGGTTTTCATGTTTTAGTCCTGCACTGGCATGCGTGCATATTTACATTTTCCTCACGGTTAAATGATACACAGTTCAAAACGCTTACCCCCTACTGTTTATCTTTTAATGATGTAGTTGATTTCACAGTTTTTCACCCGTACTAAAATGACCAGAATGAATTTGCCTGCTACCCACAGCGCAGGTCAGCCTCCCATGTGGTGCTTATTAAAACGATGGCTGCTCCCTTGCGCTCATAGGTTTGCTAACAGTAGGAGCTGAGAGATAAGAGGCTAACGAGAGGGTGAAACTCCCAGCCAGGCGCTCTTTCTCTTCCTGCTGAAGGACTTATCAGGGCTAATTGGCCTGAGGGGATAACCCAAGGGTTTAATCTCCATTTTAACGTAATAAGAGTGGGTACATTTTGATTGTGGAAGCCAGAAATGGTCATTTGAGACAATCAGAAAAATACAAATCCGGCTAACCATCGACTACTTTCTGTTACCATCTTTAACAATGGATTAGTATAATATGGACACAGTTCTATTCAAATGATGTGTTGTAAAGAACATAAAAAGACTGGTAATAGTGTATTCAGGTCAGTAACAAGAGGGGAGACTGGGATGATACTTGATACAAACTTATGGGTCTTAGAAGGGAAATGCTTCCCACTTATTTCCACATAACACCGTGTACAAATGCAAACCATTTATTATCAATCAAACAATCAAAAAATGTTATTAATCCCATGGGGAAATTACATTTTGTGAAAAGTGCAACATATTAGAATAACAAAAATGTTTATTTTTATAAACATAAATTGAATTAAAAACTTGCAATTTTCAAGTTCTAGCCACACAGGGACACAGCTTCTTTGGCACAGGAACGAGGCAGGACGTCCTCCACAGCTCAGGGACCCTCGGAAGACCCAGGCTCATGGTGAAGACATGGTGAAGCTCTCAATGCAATCCCTGTCGGCCAAAACATTAGACTACACTCCAGATATTCTTACGTTGCCCACTATTACAATAGTAAGTCCATGGGTTTTCAAAACGGAGAAAACGTTACCTGTAAGAACAGATTTGTAATGTACTGTATGGCAGAGGAAGTTAGCATGTTACGCATTGAATGCTAACTTCCTGTGAAATTAGCGAATGAGCTAACAGGCTATTTATTCAATTCAGTTGCTTGGCTACGTTGATAGTAAAATTGTGTAATTGAAACGAGTTCCGCTAGTTGAACACATTTAAAACTCGTAATGTAATTTTGCTTGAATATACAGTAAAAGCCTACACAACGTAAAAAGTAGTTAAATAAAAGTGGGTTCATTATGACATTCATATTATTTCATTTATTTGCCTATATTCATATCTATCCATCGAGGAAAACTTTGTGGAAACAAGGCAATAATACTGTCAGTTGTCAGGAAATATTACGCATGTGACAGCTCTTTTCTCCTCATCTCCACACACCTTTCTGCTGAGCGCCCTGATCATGCTGGGAGTGCACAGATGCATGAAGGCCAACTGTCATTTGAATCTCTCTCTGTCTCTCAATCCATTCTTAAATTAGATTTACCCTTTATCGGTTTTGATCGAGGACAAGGACTGACAATCCATAGTTGATTTGTGAGTCCGCTGTGATACTCACATGTGTCTCTTTTCTCTCGCTGTCACCCACAGTCTACGGTACCTAAGGCTCAGCATTTGTTCCATTTTCATCTCCATCACTTGTCACAATTACCCCCCCGCTATCCGAATCAGATAGTGTTCCCTCTCTCTGATGCCCTATTCTCTATGATCTTCATCTGATTTGATCTATGTAAATCCTTCATAAGATGTGCCAAGGCTCATTAATGGGGAAAAAAGCAAAGAGGAGGCAAGGAGGAACAAACTTAGCTGGTGTCAATCACAAAGATCCCTGACATATAAGGAACATCTAATCCCTGTGGATCTCCCTCACTGCCCTGCCTCAGCATCATTATGCCCGAACACATCCTCCACACTTTGAGAGTCAGAACTTCCTGTACTTAATCTTGTCGGCCTAAGTTCTTCTGACACCCCACTGCTTTGCAACACTAACGTTTCCCTGCAACTACAGAGAAATGCCGCTTAGATCAAAGGTGGATGCCTGCAGAAATGTTAAGTAGTAGGTCCTGCCCAGTAAGACCAGTGATATGATGTCTTTGATGTCTTTTGTTGTTTATCCATGGTAGCCATTAATGATTATGCTATCGTAACCACCAAGTCCTTCTTGGGTAGATACCTCAACCAAATAAAATAACTGCAATTATTGTCCGTGTTACGACAAAAATGGTAAATGGACTGTACTTATTTAGCGCTTTAACCAGTCTTTACGACCCCTCAAAACGCTTTACATTCTACAAGTCATTATTCACCAACAGTGTTGGGCAAGTTACTTCCAAAATGTAATACAGTACATATTACTTATTACTGTTGTAATAAGTTACATTATAATATTACTGTCTCTGAAATGTAATGAGTTACACTACTTTTATATTACTTTTGAGTTACTTTACCAAAATAACCGCAAAAGAATGGCTAGGTATTTTAAATGCTAAAATGTAGTTTAGTGCAGCTCATTATACATCCAGTGAAGGGCAATGTGGTATAGCATAACAACTGTGTAGGGCATTAAGGCTACTAACAACTTGTATTACACGGCTTAGTTGAATACTCGATTCTGATTGTAAATTCTTAACATGTGACACGTTGTTAATACAGTAGTACAGACCACTGTCAAGGACTATAATGAAGGTTGCTAAGGAGGATCAAGAAAGAGAAAGGAAAAGAGGTTAAAAAACGGAGCGCTGGACGTCAGATAAATCACCAGAAGAAGGCAGAGAGGAAGTAAACAATAACAGGAACACGGAATGGGCTCTGTTGTTTGTTTAGTATATGGCCGTGTAATAAGCGGGATAATGTGCAGCGAGGCGGTCATTGTGGGGAAAAGAACACCCGACGCGAAGCGGAGGGATCTTGATGAACCTGAAGGGTAAACACCAGGCTTACTAATCTACCTAATTTTTCTCTGGTGTCGGAATGTCTCGCGATGTTGGTAAATTCTTAAAAAACAAAACACCATAATTTCGGGTTAAAATGTGTTGTGACTGCGTTACTGAGAATTGTAACAGGTAGTATATTACCCAAAATTCATTAGTAATGGGTTACATTACTACGTTACAGCAAAAAGCAATACATTGCTGTAACTCTGTTACTTTTGTAACGCGTTACACCCAACACTGTTCACCAATGTTGGCCATGCCATCAGGAGCAACTTGGGGTTAAGTAAACATCGACATGTTGACTGCTGGGGATCGAACCAAAAAGCGTGTTATTAACAGAAACAGATGGAACAAAACTTTATGGCAGGCATTTTTTATTTCTCTATGCACTCTTAACACTCTTAAGGTACATAGTTTGTAAGCAAGTTTTTGACAGTTTCTTTCCCGCAAACCCACTGCTATTTAGGAACTCATTCCAGGCCTCAGGGACCAGCATATAAATAAAGTTATGGGGACATTATTTCCACCAAAAGTATGTGGTCAGGGGAATAATACTTTCCGAGAGTTTGGGAACGTTGTGTGAAGTCTTGCTGAGCAAAAAAAAAAAAAAAACTGGTCTAGCCATTAGTCTTGTAAGATTTTGAGCAAGGCTAATAGCTGGTGATATTTTCTTTTATTTAGTTACAATATGTGTTCAGGCAATCTTTAAGAGATGTCACTGAAAATCTAGCAGGAGTCTGCCTTGAATCAGACTTCTGCTAAAGTTTACTCGTCATGACCAAAAATGACGAGTAAACACAAACAACAATAGGCTTAAGGAACCTTTGAGTTCCATACAAAGTAGTTCCTAGGAATAATATTATTGGGAACTTTAGGTAAGAACACAGCTTTTGTACCTTGTGTTCAGAGACCATGGTTGCGGTCCAATAGTCCAGTCAGTAGAAGCCTTCCGAGTAAATCGCCAGAAGCGCCGACACCTCCTCATCACTGCACCGCTCCAATGTTTTCTTTTGTGTTGCCATAAGTTAGTCTCTCTCCGTTGGTGTGCTGGGCTAATGCTAATGCTAATAATGCTAATGCGAGCAAATAAAATGGCGGCTTCACAAAAACTTTTCAGAGTTTTACGGGGCGTGGTTTGCAATTCGCCCAGCCAATCAGAAATTGGAACCTTTTTCTCCCCAGGAAAGTCCCTGCTCTCTAGCAGGGACTAAAAAGGGGTGAAAAGGTTCGCAAAAAAGATCTAGTTCCAGATATTTTTGGTGTGAAAGCAAAATCCCAGGAACTATCGGAACTATTCCTGGGAAAAGTACTCGTGTCATGCCATTTTTCAGACTTTATTATATTGACCCTGCCATGACTTTTGATATATTATGTTTTCTTGTCAAGTAATCATGACAGACACTGGTAGAGAAGTGTCGACTTAACATTAAAGTGACATTATGAATTGAATGACACTTAACTCTACATGTGTAAAGACTGAGTAATCTTCATGTCAGTTTTCATAAAATTGCAAGTAATGACATTGTTATGCCGGCCTTATTCACAGCTCATTAAATTAAGTGTTTCAGGTCAAATCCATTTGAGATTGGAAAACTAGACGGATGGGGAACAGTTATAATTGATAACTTGGGTGGCAAAAGGCACTAAGTGACACATGAAGGGACATCATCGCATCAACCTTTTTATTCATGATATGAGCAGTTACGGTGTGATGGGACTTTGCAGCTCTTTACTTTGCAGAATAATATCTAAGTGACACTAAATGGCTTATGAAACAAGGAGAATGACTCATAATATATATCATATAATAATATAAGACACAGAAAAATATGACATTTACTTATTACCCAAAAAGCCAAGGGAAGCTTGTGAAAAACATAACAGAAAAAACAAAGCCTCATTTTTTGTGTTTTTCTTCTATATTTCTTTAAAATAAAAACGAAGTGTTAGCTCCATGATGGAAAGCCTTTTGTATGATAAACAAAACATTTAAACACCGTAGTGTCATTGACGAATAATGTATTTTTCTTGCCTTTCTTTCTGAAGAACACCTGCTCTATGCTGAGACCTCCATTATCTGGATGGTGCCATTTCCAAAATGCACACTGTTATCAGGGTACTTAGAGGTAATGGGCACTCAAGAGACAGAAGCTTGGGATAAAAGGCAAAAAGCAAACTTAAGGAGAAAAATTGAAATGAAACTTAAAACCACCCAACTGTTACCAACTAAAGTTTAAGGTATAAAATGAATTGTAAACATGCAGCAACAGATATCAAACGTTTGTCTTATTTAGTCACAAAAATAAATGATATTCTATAATTATATTCTATTCTATTCTATTAATATTCAGTATTGGCCTGAGGTCTGTGTATATGTGTACATGTTTTTAATGTTGAAAAAACTACATTTTGTCAAAGTGTCTATCGGAAATTACATGTATATATTCAAAATTCGAAATGCTTAGGTTAAGCCCTCCACCCAGTCTGTTCTGATTGGTCAGAGTTTCCCGGTACTCCAGAGGTGTGCTTTTTGCATCTCAGCCTCATCGTTGGAGCAAGGGAATGACTGACAGCACTGTAGCAGCACTTTCTACCCAAATAGTGTATAGTTGTCACAACTTGACTTTACAGGAGCCAAGAAGGCTCATTTGAATGCACAGTTTCTCAAAAGTGGTTGGGTATTTCACCACATTGATATTTTCACAATATTTACAAAGCACCTAGAACTGCTTTTATAATAAGGAAAAAGATAATTATTGTCACTTTTAACAACTTTTTCACTTGTTTATGTCATATGCCTGTTTATTTTCTTTTACAATAATGGCCCACTTTTATAATAATACATTTGTGGGATGAGCAGCACAGCTGATTATATTCATGGTTCTAAAGGGAAATGTGCCAAATGTACAATTGTCCTTGCTCAATAGACATCTTTCAGTAACAAGGAATAAACAAGGCATGTTGGCAGTTTTCATCTTTATTCATTAAACAATCAACAGTAAGGTGCTTCAGTATCCACAACATCCTGGCACCACGTCTTCCTCATGCTGCAGGTTGTGTTGGTAACTCTAGCACGTACAACACACCAAAGCGGATCCCACAAGGTTTTAAATTGGGTTGAGGTCTTGGCTGTTGACAGTCCATTCCAATCTCTGCTACATTCTGGAGGTAGTCTGTGATAACCCTAGTTATGTAGGGGCAAGCGTTTTCATCTTGGAGTATGGACTCAGGTCTCAGATTGTGGAGACATGGAATGGCCACTGGCTGCAGAATCTCTGCCTTCAATGGGTCAGGCCTTGTTTAGCCAGTGATAGAGATACCCCACATCATGACACTGCCCCCACCAAAACCATTCTCCACAATGTCTCTATACGTTGACCCTTCTATCCATCTTCCGCAGAGAGAACCTGGACTCATCATGACATTCCTCTATATGTTCAAGTTTCAATTCAGTGTTGCAAACGACTGGGCCTAACCTGAAGCTGATTGGTGCCTGAATCAATACCAACAGGACGATACACTTTGGAATTGTAGCCCATTTATCTGGGACACACCCATGTTATCATTACAAATATGACATCCATGTAAAGAGAACTTGTCAGAAATGTATTTTCATTGATATGCGCCATAGTATTTAAAGGTCACATAAAGCAGAAATATGATCGACCAAACAGAAATGTCCCCCCAAAAAGTAATTTTGACAGGTTCATATACAGCTGTGTTATCTGTTAGTGAAGATGAACCAAAAAAAAGTCCTGAAAATGAAAAATGTAATAATAAATGTGCCTTGGGTAAAGACACTTTCAATATTTACACTAACGTTGTATTAGATTTGTTTCTGTCGGTTAAACATAACGGGGAGACATTGTTTTAAAATCGAGCAATTTTTCATTAAGACACAGTGTTGAAACAGGTAGACACACGGCACACAGCGCTTTCTGTGGTTACACAAGCATGTTCTTGCACAATCCAATTAATCGTTTTTACTAACCGCGCACACTGTCTTTGTAAATTGAAGTTGGTGGTGGTAAAGGCTTCCGATGCTTCCATTCAGTGAAGTGATTTCAAGTTGATTGCCACCCCCCAAAACACATCATGTCACCACCTCAGCTTTCTCATTTCCCCTCGGACCCTCTTCCTCCTTCCTCCACTCTTTCCTATCTCGTCCTCTGGACACTTCAGGCCTTCTCCATTTTCTGCTCCGGTTTTTAGAGGCACTCTGAGCGTCATCTCACACCCCCCCATCGCACTTCAGTCCTAATTTTCAGCAACACATCGAGTCCTGTGAGCCATTAGTCTGCACCCCCCGCGTGCCCCGCTCCTCTCAACCTCTTAGCCTTCGCTGTCGCTCATCTCCTCCATCACCGCTCCCCACACCACCCCCGTCCTTTTTCTACTTGGCAGTTTGGCAGTCACTGTTCACTCCAAAGGTTCTTCATTCACCCACCTGCAGGGCCTATCCACTCATTAAATACCCCCACCCAACCTTCCCATCTTCTCCTCTCCTCCCCTGATATATTCTCTCTCCCCTGTCCCTCTCTAGGACACTTCCTCAATGGCAGCTACTGCTCTTTTGAAGAGGGCGAGTGCAGTTGGCAGTCAATAACGGGCCGGGGTCTCTCCTGGAGAAGACAGCAGACACCATCCAAGGCTTTGAGACAGAGCTGCCTGTCATCAGGTGACACACACACACACACACACACACACACACACACACACACACACACACACACACACTCACACTGTCTTATACAGATCTCAATTGTCTTCAATATAGAAAATAAGGTAATGGTGGGTTTCTACTCTTAATGCAGTCATGGATCATTAAAATCAATAATAAAATGGATTCAAAACATAATATTTCTGTCCATTTAAATAGACACAGGATCTTAATTCATTAAAAACACCTAACTTTAAATTGACATTAACTAGTCTTGAGAGCTCTTTTTTCAATAAAATAAACATGAGTTTTTATGAATGGACAATTCATGTCAATGAATCAATTAGGTATTTCAAACACATTGCACATAACCTGACTAAAAGTTATATTTATTTCATAAGATATGTTGATATGTATTACTAATAAGGTATCTTGTTTTAACTTTGAATTCAGTATTGCAAATGATGGACTACATCAATGTTGAACATAGATTAAAATGAGCCCTGCGCTTTCTCCTTGCATCACAGTCAGCCATGCTAGCTGAAAAAGGGTTGTGGTTCTACTGCAATCCACTTAAGACGATTTGAAACACTGTGATTGGCTTAAAGATTTCCAATCAATTCCATGTGTTCACTTGGGTGGATTTAAATGACAATAATCATGGATATAGACATCCCAGAAAAGTGATGTACCATCCGACATCCGGCGGGATCTAAACAGGTTAAGAAATCATTCTGTTCTGACTAAGTGATGAAATCTGCATGCTCACTTTAATTGTTTATGGAGTAGTGGTGTTAATGCTTTATTAAATGGACTTCATAGTCTTTAAACCATGGTCTTACATATTTCAGTGAGTAAGGAAAGATCTAAATGTCTGATGTGTCAGACATTGACGTGCCTCCTTGTTCGGAGCTCAGTGTGCAGCTACAAACTCCACGGTCCCAGCGGCTCTGAAGGCTCCGGCACGTAGACTGAGTCCTACATCTGCAGTTCATCGTCAGGGCAGAGTCTCCAGCGTGTCTCTCCAGAAGATTTTAAAGTCTTGGTTTGCTGAGGCTTGTGTTTGTTCTCTTCTATTTACATACGTCTCAGAGGTAGTGTGGGGAAACAAAAAATGGAGCACTACAATTTAAGGAATATTTGTTGATTTGAGATCAACAGTAAATTACTGCCACAGTCACCTGAAATAACATGTTGACGTATGCTTTAATAAGCTATCACTGAACTGTGCTTTTTTCAAATATTCTTCTCTAATACTTTCTATGAATACCACATCTATTTTGCATTAATTAGAAAGGTACAGTACAATATATATATATAAAGCATCTATGTGTCATGACTACAAACATCATAGGCCAATATTGGTATACATTGGTATAATTTAACTTTATGAAATGTATGTACTCATTCAAAAAAAAGATTCCACAAAATATATTCATTCTTTATTTCCTACCCATGTACACAGATAATCGATGCTTTTTTATATATGGATGTTTTATATATACTATTGTTTATTCTGACGCAGTGTTTCTTCTTCTGTGTGTTTAATGTGTGTATTAAAGGTGCTACATTCAGTGTGGAAGGAGGCCAGTCCAAAGGCCAGCGGAGCTCAGCAGTTCTGAGGAGCCCTCTCTTCCCCCCTCCTCTCAGAAACTCTCGATGCACGGTGAGCATAGTACAGAGTAGACTGAATCTTCCTTACATACAAAGACCCCCCCCCCACCTAGTAACTGTTGCTAAGTGTGTCAAGCTATCTTTACTTTATCTTTTAAATGATAACGTGCCATATTTTTCCCTCTGATTATTAGCACCCTGGATTCCACACAGTCAATGCTACAGTCCAGAACAGTCATTTGTACCACTACCAGAAAGCTCAATACTTTTACTTTGGTCTGTCTCTCTGTCTGTCTTTTCAGGTGAGCTACAGAAGAACTAGAGGGGGAAAAGCAACAATTTGAATAAAATGTACAAAATAAGAGAAGCTATGGCAAAAAGAATGCAGATCATTCACATACTCTTTTTCTGCCAATTACTAAAAAGTTTAAGTAATTATAACCTCCACATGAAAATGAACAGTCACTTGAACCATAATGTATTATCATGGGTAAATCACCTGCAGCTATGAATCAGATTACGAGGAACTCAATTGGAACCAAATCCAAAAATGTAAGCTGCTAAATTCAGCATTTGACATGATGAAAGGACAAACAACTAAGAATAAATTGGATATAAATTGGATAAATGATCAGAGGGTTATTGGGATCTTTGGGAAATGTTTGTCACCTTTTTTTTTATACCTGATGAGTTAGCATCCCTGGTTTTCTGTTTCTGTAGGAGTAGAAAATATAATGAATCTCTGAATAGTGTGACATGTTCATTGCCTTCAGTAACAGCTCAAACAGTAATGTGTTTCGACAGCAGGGTTACACAGTACCATCTGCATTTCCTGAGAGATACTAACAGACAGAGGTTGACCTCGTCAATCACACATTTGTATCTGCTGACCTCGCTGTAAAAAATATTACAAATCATGCATAATTCACATCATGTAGCTCCCGGGGCAGGTCTCTGAGGGTGGTTCTGTTCTTGACGTATTAAATTGATGCTGCTCCATCTTTCATTCAAATGTATGTTATTCATTTTAACATTGCAAAGCGACCTTTGGCCTTCTGCATGTGTACTTTGCACATTCCGAGTTGATGTAGAGAGCAAATGGGGAGACAGAAGCAGACACAGGAGGGAAGGAAGGTAACAGGAAGGTCTAGAGGTCAGAAATGAAGATAATAATAGAGACTGAGGGTAAATAAAGTTAGTCTCGACAAGGGAAGGGAAGACAGAGAGGCATAAAACAATAGTAGAAAATAATAAAAATGTAGGAGTAGAAATGTACCCCTTCTGTGAATTAAAGCTGCCTGATATGTGTGGAGGCAGTGCTACACCATCGCAGCTTCCTGGTGCAAAGCCAAAGATTAGCCATGATTCCAGATTAACACTCTAAATCCTTTTCTCTACACTGAACCGCTGCTGTTAAATCTAGCCTGTCCGCTTTTGGACAACTACGTAGAGGATATCAGTGTTGGGTATTAGCTACAGACCATGTTCACTTTCATCTGGCGCCCGGTGTGCTCTGTGCAGTTCCTGTAATCTTGTCGTTTAAACGGTCACCATGTGGTCCAGCGGTTGACGATAAGGGAAACGACAACCTGCGAGATTTATGTTCTTGGCGCCGCCGAAATGCTGCGCAGGGACATGGTCACATCCCATGCTTGTTAGCGAGCTTTAGATTCAGACTTCCTTTTACTATTTTATTGAGCCCTGTGTGTGTTGTCTAACTTGAATCTGCTTTATGCTTTCCGTATCCCTCCTGGAATTAAAAAATTAGATGTATTTGTGCTGAAGCATGCAGGAGCAGCATAGATAGCAAAATGACAGCAAATCATGATCCTGGTTGAATTGTATTAATCTTGGAATAATTAGAAAAGAACAGATGGCTTTTTCTGATTGAGCTCACATAATGCACTTGAGTAAAACATTACACATGCAGTAAAGGTTGTTGAATGTGCTGTCAGCGTGTACCTTTTTAAAATCGACACTCTGGATTTATGATTACCTTGACTACATATTTCATTTATAAATGTAACTGCATTGCTCATTTGAAATTCTGCCTTGCTTCCACAGATGAGATTCTGGCTGTGTTCTGGGGGCTCACAGAGGGGGTCGCTGTCGCTGTGGATCGCTGAGAACAGTACAGGCCCTGAGGAGCAGCGCAGACTGTGGCGTTCAGCCAGCGTGCCCAAATCTGAGAAGGGCTGGAAACTCATCATACTGCCCCTTTACGGGCTGGCAGACTGGTACGACAAACACTCACATGTTTCAACAGCATTATATCCAGCACGACTGTCCGAATGCTTTAAACCGGCACTATAAGGTGTTTAAGAGCCAACGAGTGGTTTAGCTCTCACTCCAACAGACCTCCTCACACAACTAATTAAGAGCTCCCACAAGAAATCCTTAAGAAACTGAACCAAGTAGCTATTCTTCCTTCTTATCTCCTCTCCTAAATGCAGATTCCAACATTTACATTCCATTTTCCTGGAACATTGCCTCTCACCTCAGCAGAATTAATGAATCCCATAGGGACTGAACAAAATGCAGCCCTCTTTTTTATTCAACTTGTCTGTGATTCAGGGAGTCCAAATCAATACAACAGGCTCTACACACACTACTTGCCTTCCAATTAGAGATGGCCCTGATTTCCCCTCAAAAAAAGGGGAAATTAAAACCAAATAAGTTAAGCTAGGAGAAAGAGAAACCCCAAATAAGGCATTTCATCTCTGTGTGCCTCACTGTTGGTTTCTTTGCCATTGGACCTTGGATAATCCTGCCCCCCTGAGAGTGATACATTTTTTTATCTCTGGGTTATGTAGTCAGCTGTGCCTGGGCTCTTAATTAGAATGTCATGTCCGTATCCACGAGGTGAACCTGCCAGTCTTTGCGCACTGACCTTTGTAGAGCTTAAATAGAATCAGAAATACAGCCTGAAGTGCAGATAAAAGTCAGGACACGACAGACTGTTTTTGGTTTGACAGTAAGAATGGGTGTATACTGTAGCATACCATCACATTTAAGCAACATAACAGATCAAGTACTTTAGATATAATAGATTGACTGACACTATTCTCATGTCTGTACGCTAAATATGATGCTGGATTTAGAAGCCAGTTAGCTTAGCTTAGCACTAAGACAAGAGAAAGGCGGCAATTGTGTTTTTTTCCCTTTAGTTTTTTGTGTAGCTAATTAAATACAATTAATGAGTGAGCTTTAGAGGGGTTTCAGGATATATGCTAAGCTAACCAACAGCTGGCTACATGTTTACCTTGAGGACTTGAGAATGGTATCAATCATCTTATCGAAGAGGACCAGCAAGAAGAACTCAAATACTGACATTTTAAGATTTTTCTTTAAAGGTTTAGGCAGCATAAGTGATGTCATGCCTGTCTACATAATTCTATGCATGAAAGCATTTCATTTTCAAACATAAAAAGAGTTCCAACCCAATAGGACTCAATTTCTTCTGTCTCGGCTGAATATACAGTGAGCTGTCATAAGGCATACAATGCATACCCTCCAAAGCCAAAGCACAAAGACATTTTCCTGAAGAACTTGCATTGTTCTTCACATCCTTTACGTTTGAAGCTTTCCATAATCTCAAAGCTTGTGAGGAAGTATAAACCGCTCTGTCCTTCTGTAGGTTTTGGCTGCAATTCAGCACAGAAGATGGACCTGGATCGGGTTCAGCCGTGTCTATTGACAACATCTCTTTCAGTATGGACTGCTTCCTGGCATGTGAGTACTTTCAAAATGTTTCTTTTGCCACTATTACTTCATCAGACATGGGTTGAATTAATGGTATTGTTTGTCTGATTGATTGACCATCACAGGCACAACAGGGGGAGCGGGATGCCTTTGAAAAAATGTTTACCCTTTTAATGGACTTTAGATATACTTATGAATTTTTTTTATTCCACGACAGCTATTCAAATAATAGTCAATTCAGGTCTGCCCTATGCTTATGTTTACATAGCAACTGATTTGTACACTTTTTATCAAGGACTCACTTATCCTTTCAATTCCCTTGACATAGCCATAATACAGTACTACAACATTTCTTTACAATTCACAGTTAAAACTATTAAAATACAATTTAAATGCTAGTAAGTCTGCTACGAAATAATACCTTTATTAAATGTTCTGCAGTTTTGCATGAAGATACATCCCTCTGAGAATGAGATAAATGAAATGTCAGAACAGTTCAAATCTGCTATCTTGTAGCATGCTGATTGATAAGGGCTTATGTTTCAATGTTGTACTGCAGCCATATAAAGGTTAAGCCTCACATCACCTTTACGGATATGTTTTTGTTATAATTGAGATGGTGTATCAGTATAAAAACAGGAGTAGGATGACAACCATGTCTGGCATCAGAAGAATGAAAGGTGAGAAGGTCGGTGCCTCTCTCCATCTCTTTTTGAGCTGCGCCTGGAATAGTAATGTTTTAGCATCTCTGTACGTGATAAAAGTTCTGACCATGAGAACGTTGGTAAAATGAAGTATAGGTAAACTGACTGGCCAAGGATTCAACTCAAGAAGCCCGGGCATGGGGTCACCCTCTGAAATAGATGGTTGGATTATAAATCTGAAATTGTCCGACACTGACATCACTGACTTGTATCTATGCGAAGTTTGACACCAGAGAGGTTTTGTCTCTTTTAATAACGAGAGATGTTTGTGCACTTCCTTATTATCTCAGATTCATAAAGGTTACCCTGGGACAGCTCGATTTGGTATGTCACACATTCTACAAAGTTTTGCTTTTTAATATGCCGACATATCTCGACATGAAAACCAAAAACCATCAGTGCCGAGAAAACTCGTCAGTAGGCTACAGACAGCGAGAGTTAGCATTAGCATAGTGAAACGTTTTCAATTAAACATGGCACCTTTTAGATATACACCTTAGCCTGGAGTCAATTTAAATATCTTTAAAATCCTACTAGATATTATTGTATGTTTCCCAACCAGTAATACTGTGTCAGCCACTGCTAGCAACAAGCTATTAAGCTAGCAAATATAACAAAGTTGCTAGCCGCTGATTTTGGGGCACAACTGACTCCTTATGTGAGTCAGGATTCAGGAACCTTACTTTGAATGGTGAAAATACACCTCTCTCATGTAGCAGCTCCTCTTTGCCATTGATGCCACATTACAACCAAGCGTGAGTAGTGGGTGGGGAGAAGCCAGATTCAGAATGTTTCATGAAGCAATAAACAGTACATGTGCCTGTAGCCCTTTTAAAAAAATATATTTTGCTTACTATTTCTGTGGTAAACCCGTGTTAAAGGGCCCATGTCATGCTTTTCCGGTTATTACCCGTCCCCTTGTGTGTTATAAAGGTTTTTATGCATGTAAACGGTGTGCAGAGTCACAAACCCTCAAAGTACACCCTGTAGCGAGTAAAACTCTAACACAGAAAATACCTCCCCAAAACGCCTCGTTGGAGATACGTCATTGTCCATTTGATTCTTCCATTTCGTTCCGGGTACGGCATGATGTCATGCCGTACCCGGAACGAAATGGACCAATCCGTGGAGCCGTTACGTTACGTCCACGGAGCCGTTACGTTAAGCCCCCGCTGATTGGTCCAAATTGACCAATCCACGGACTTCCTCACACACACATCTGTTGCGGCTTTCACACCAGCGCTTTTCCCTTTCTAGCTCCGAGCTAGAGCTTTTCTGGTTCTGGTGGTTTTTTTTATAAGTGTGTGGTTGCCTTCTAGTCACTTTGCTCAGCGCTACTGCTTGTAGGCAGGCATGACAAGACTCTTCAGTCGACCCATGTTCAGGGGAGGTGGGTTTAGTTTCCTGCACGCCTCGATGTAAGAGAGACGTAAGCGACGCCGCCTCTTAGCTCCGAAGCTCTTGCTTCTAGACCGACAATTTTTTGGAGCTGGAAGTGAACCGGATTCCGGAGCTAAGAGGCGGCACCGCTGCGGTGTGAACAGGAAAAACCGGTACTTTTCAGGCTCTAGCTCCGAGCCGGCGCTGAAAACGCGTTGGTGTGAAAGGGGCATGAGTGCAGGGAGCAGGGAGCTCTGCTGATTTCTCCTCCCTGGCTGCAGGCTGATAACAGACAGTTGGGATCGCGGCGAAATTCTCTCTGCAGACCCATTCTCACAGCGTTTATCAACCTTTTTTCTTACTCAATATCAAGCCACACTTATTGTTTTTACTTCAGCTGTCAGTTTGTGTGTGCTCAGGATGAGTTTGGCTGTGTTTGGTTGTGTATCGCTAACAAGGAAACAACACCTCCACGGAGCTCAGCGTGATTCACAACGTCCCGACCAATCAGAGCACACTGTGCTCACAGGGAGGGTGGGGGCTGGAGCTATTGGAGCTACAACGAGCCGTTAAAGGCAGAGAGTGAAATTCAGTGAATACTCGTAGTTTACAGAGATGCTGTATGAGAAACCAATGTGAGTTTGGAAAATTGCACAATATAAATCTATTCTAGTAGACTTCAACAATGGAATTATGATCAGTGGAAATGGCCATGACATGGGCCCTTTAAACAAAATGTCAATCATAGCAGATTATTCTAATAATCTTTAAAAGGTGTCTGGAGGCGGACTTTAAAACAATGATAAAAGGTTTAAACTAAATTAATGATATCAAAATACATTATTGAGATAGCATTTGGTATTCAGATGTGTGCACACACTCACACCTGGAAAATGGTACTGGAACACATCGTCTACTATGTGTTCACCGATGATGTTTTTGATGAATTTATACATCCGCCACAGATATAATCTCAGCCCATTTGCCCTCACAGTACATTTCAATCAGATAACATGAATTCATCAGCTGAATGTGATGTGAGTAATACTGCTGTTCTAGGCTGAAGCAGATCACACCGTTCCAGGCTTATTGGCTCACAGCCTCTTTATTTAAAGAGGTGACATTTTCCAGGAGATATTTGCACATCAATTTGTGTTTTATGTCCTTTCCTGAGTGGCAGCGGCACTGCTACGTCCATCCCCGCTTCACTCACTATCCAGATGGCAAGTTCTTAATCTAGGCCAGGTATCCATTTCCCACAGCCACATGCGAAACAGCCACTTTTATCACCTATCAATCAGACCTGCGGATATGCTGAAGCTAAGAAAAAGCTGTCTTTCCCAAAAGTGATCACAGTGAGTGATCAGCATGATGGATCCTTAAACATTATGACGCATCCCTGTAATATGTCAGTAGGAAAACATACTGTGAACACATTATGCAGAGGACCAGCCAGCCATGGCCTTTATCCTTCACTTCCCTAGGCTTGAGTGTGATGTATAGTTTGGCAAGTATGACGTGTGTTTGATGATGCATCCATTGCCCTTCAGGTGTTGGACCTGGTTTTATCTTTTATCTTATCCAGCATCAGTAAATTGGTATATTGTGTTATTATTATTAAGGAGTTCATCCTTCCTAAAGCAGCGTTCAGTTATTATGCTCCAAATATCTGGAACAAACTCCCAGAAACCTGCCGGTCCGCTGCAACTCTGACTACTTTTAAATCCAGGCTGAAGACTTTTCTTTTTGCCGCTGATTTTAATTGATATATTCATATCTTACACTGCACTGTAACTTTTATTATCTTTGCTTTTTATCTTTGCTTTTAAATGAGTGTTTCTAAATATCATTTTATAATATGTTTCTTAGCTCTTAATGTATTTCATTGTTGTAAAGCACTTTGAATTGCCTTGTGTTGAAAGGTGCTCTATAAATAACATTGCCTTGCCTTCAGTTTGTGTACTGTGCCGTCACGTCTTTTACCTTTCCTTCTTTCTTTCTTGTGATGTTTCTTTAACACAACATCACACTGTGAATGTGTCCCCTCGGTAGCTTTTCTTTGACCTCACAGGATTGTCAATGCAACGCTCCTCACCAGGGTTAGATTTTGTCCTTGAAAAATGAATGTGTTTTTTCAAACTGTGTCATAAACGTACCAAAAGCGCTTTATTGATTTACAATGGAATTTCCAGTTGTTTTCTTCTTCCAATTATGTGCCAATAGCTTGGTTGGTTGTTGCGTCCGTGTTTTCTGTTGCGGTAGCTTGTGTAAAACAACGAGGGATTAGTGAAATGTATTTGTTTCTCTAATTATCACCTGCACTTGTGGATGTTGAGAAACATGTAGACACAGCACGGACCAGTAATTACAGACGCTCTACATCCCCCTGTGAATTGACAGTGATTACTTAGTAGGGCTAATTAAAAGCAGTCAATGTTGTCTGTACAGGTTTACCTTAATATTTAGATTCTAGATACTGTAAAAGCTGTTAATGCATGTTAACAGATTAGGAATCCAAGAGATGTTTTGAAAACACTTGTAAAAAGTACATGTCTATTATGCATTGTTAACATACATGTAAGGCACTGTATAATTAGATTTATAAAACGGACAAGTCAAATCAAGCAATCTGATTGGTTCTTAGCCGTGATATAATGAGCGTATATCACGGGTAGAATTGTAGTTACTTTTCACAACAAGTCAGTATCCCTCCGCGTCTGAGAAAAGCTACAACCGTTACAACTGTTACATTACGTCCGTTACGAAACTAACTAACTAACAAAGCTTAAGATGGAAACATGTAAGGGATAATGTGCAGCAAGGACTTATTGACCGTTGTTAAGGACGCTCACATCTGCAGAAAGAAATCCGGTTGATTTAACTGTGTACAGTTGGCCCTAAAAGCAAACTGCATGCTTCGCGTCGGGCCGAACCATGCCCCTTAGC